ACACACACACACACACACACACACACACACACACACACATAAACACACATACACACACACACACACACACTCAGTCATTCACACACACACACAACACACACAGAGCAAATGAAAAATAAATCCATTTTTAAAATGATCATCTAGGTTTTTTTTATTGGTGGTGATTTGTTTGGGGGGTTTTTTGTTTTATTTTCTTTTTTGAGACAAGGTCTCATTGAGCCCAAGCTGGCTCCAAACTTACTGTGTAGCTAAGGATGATCTTGAACTTTCAATTCTCTTGCTTCTACCTCCCAGGTGCTAGGATTATAGGCATACACCACCTGTCCTGTTTTATGTGGTGCTGGGGATGGAACCCACAGCTTCATGTGTCACAAGGAAGCATACTACCAACTGAGCTACAAACTCAGCCCCAATGATCATTTAGTTCTGGAAAACAAAATAAAACTATCTGCCTCCAGCATCAGAAAACCACCATTAAGGAATTTTGTACAAAATTCACAAGCAAGCTGGGTGGTAGTGGCGCACGCCTTTAATGCCAGCACTAGGAAACAGAGGCAGGTGGATCTCTGAGTTCCAGGACAGTCAGGGCTACATAGTGAGGCCCTGTCTGGGGGGGTGGGGGAGGAGTTACAATGAGTTCAAAACAAATGTAACTTTATCATCTTAATCCTCAGAAACTATCCCTAAGCTCCACCCAACAAGGCCGCTGCTCCTTCTCCTCTGAATAAGACGCCCTCTCCCACGCCCAGACAGGCAGTCTGCACCAAATTATCCACAACTTTGTGCTGCTTCCTAAAATTACATACAGTGCTCCCTTTTTGCTAATTGTTTCATGTACACAAATGCCTTTTCTTCCCCAAATAAAATACATGAATTACTTAAAAACAAGGCCTGTTTGATTTTGTAATTGTCTATTCTCCAGTGCTGCAGTTTAGCACTCAGGGAGCAGCCACCACACTGGGACTGAACAACCTCCCTCCCTGCTGCAGGAGCTGAGCACTGAAGCTTCCAAACCACAGCCCTGTGCACTGAGCTGCGGGCCTGAGCTGCTGCCCACTTCTCCTGCCACCGGTCCACAGCAGCCAAGAGCTCTCTGCTACTCAACCTGTGCCCCCGGCCTGCCCCAAAAGCCAGTCCTCCATAGGCTCCTCTGCCTGCCACCCTCCTGCCACCACTCCCAAGAGGGAGGAGTTGTTCACATAAGACCATGCAGCTCGGCTGGTGCCCTCATTTAATCAGGCTTCGGCAAATGGCTGGCCAAAAGCAATAAGGGCATGACTGAGAGACTGTGGGAGTTTAATATAAAAAAATTAATAAAAAAAAGGGGGGAAGGAAAAAGGGTCTACCTTTTAATAGGGCCCTAATTACCCAACTCACAGGATCAGCCCAAATGAGATGGGAGTTTATTTCGGGGTTTTTTTTAATTATTGTTTTTTTTTATATATATATAAATTGCTGCTATGTGTTTTCTTTCCTCTGAGCAATTATGCAGTAAGTACGTAAAGAGGAGAAAAAATATTAATTAAATATAAGGTAATTGTAGAGTTGGCCTGGAGAGAATGAGTCTGAACTCTGGGCGATCACAGGCTACCAGGGTTTGAAGACTGCTCAGGGGCTCCCAGAAAAGAAAGAAATAACATAACCAACCAACAGGCAGATGCACAGCACAGCGAAGGGGCCACACTCGGAACCCTACGCAGCACAGGCCTGCAGGGCCCCACATCCAGGAATTAGCCAGTTTAAGACACTCTGGCCCCCAAAAGATGGCCTGTCCTCGCTTTTTTAAGATGGAAAGCCAAATCAGGACGTTTCAAAGGAGCCCATAGCAGTAAGGGATAAAAAAAGACACTGTGTTCAGTTCAGTTTGGACTTCAGTCTGAAAGGCTTGAAAGGAGACCACAGAGGACACACGGACACTGGTAGAGTGAAGCATGCTAAGAAAAGCCAGGCAATCCCGAAAGGGTGAAAAGAGGTCGATACTACAGAATGCTAATATGAGCCGGTAACTGGTGACAATGAATAACAACATCACTCCCCTGGAAAAGTCTCAGAGGTGCTTGTGCCCTCTGGGCCTATCTGCGTCACAGCCAGATCCATCTCACCCTCTGCCTAGAAAGCCTCAGAACATGCTAGAACCTGGACCTGTTCATACCAGCCAGGACTTCACATCATCCCCTCTAACTTGGCCAAGAGAGAGTGAAGAAAGCATCGGCCTGCACTACGCAGACCGCCAAGACAAAGCCTGGTGGTGTGCCCCTGTGCACACTCGTTACCACCACTCCAAGAGAGGAAAGGCTTGGCAAAGTCAAACCAAATGCTGGCACACCCCTAAAACTGATCTGGTTTGCACAGAACCGGTCTTACTACCCAGCCCACAGGATTTACATCAAGTCCAGAAATGCCAAACAGTGAAAACAGGGCAGGCGGGCAGGGACTCTGGCTCAGACCACTAAAGCAAAAACACTCTGCAAAGAGAGTTACTTAGCTGAATGTGGTGGCATTCGCCCTCTAATTCCAGCACTTGTGAGGCTGTGGCAGAAGAACTGTTGTGAACTTGAGGCCAGCCTAGGCTACTTAGTGAGTTCAAGGATAGGCTGGGCTATAGAGTGTGACCCTCCTTGTTTAAAAAAGGAAAAAGGAGAAAAAGCAAAGGCCTCAGCATCCAGTAGACCTCATTCCTATCAGAGTCTAGGATACTACGGGTGATGCCTATCACAAACTGAATCCCTGGCCACACCAAACCAGAATCCCTCCTCTTACCAGTTCCGTAAAGGCACCTCAGGCGCTTCACTGAGAACAAAGAGTGGCTGCAGCTTTAGGCTACCCTGGGCAGCACGCAAAGTGCTCTCAGTTCCAGAAAAAGACTAAAGAGGTCTTTCTAATTCCTTCTGCTAAACAGAAGTCAAGAGGCCAGAGGTCAGGCGCAAGGCATCTCTAGGGAACACGCACTGGGATGCCACTGGTAGGTGTCACTTAAGGTGTCACAGACATAGGTCCATCAGGCTTCTTTACAGTCACACAGGATCCAATGACTAGAAAAGGGTCCTGTGGGCCTTCGTACTTACCAATGGCTCTCGAGGCACCACATTTTCACTTCCTGGAGAAGAGCTTGGCTGCAAAGAAAAACAGAAACAAAACTAAGATCACAGTGCCACCCAATGGACATCAGAAAAACAAAGGTGTGCTGCTTCCAAGTCTTTCCCTATTCTTCATGGGCTGCTGTCAGACAAAATTTGTCAGGAAACACAGACTGTCATGGCCCCTCACAAACAGGGCTTGTTTTCGCCCAGGAGAACTGAGGATCAGATATAAGCAGGAGGGATGGGGGCCATGACAAAAAAGACCAGAGAAAGGCTAAGCAGAGGCCCACATTTCTTTTTACCACCTTCCCAGCTAGAGGGAACTACAGAGCAGAAAGTGTAGAACAAAAGGCAGCCACAGGGGGGCATTAGCTACCCATACTAGGGGGTTTCTCTACCTGGAGCCAAGTGCTGCTTTCTTTGGGTTGTTTTGTGTCTGTGTCAGGGTCTCCATGTAGCCAAAGCTGACCTCAAACTCACTGCGTAACTGAGTGTAACCTTGAACTCCTGATCCTCTTGCCTCAACCTCCAAAGTGCTGGGATCAAAGGGATGTACCACAAACATACCGCCAGCGGCTAGGCTGGTTAAGTACTGCCCATAACAAAGAACCCTTCTTCAGAATAGTCTAGTGACAGTCTGAGAGATAAACAGACCAACCTCTGAGCAAGCAGACAGTACTGTGACCAGATGAGCAGGCTCCCATCTATTTCCACAGCCTTCCTCTCACACATTCAACCAGTTACTGCACTAGCTAAAACTCAGAATAGGGCTGTGGGGACAAAGCAAGATGCAAATCCCCAGAAGGGCACTACCAACAGCCTGTCTGAATGAGTTGTAGTTAGTTTACTGTTACTGATGTTAGAGTCAATTGCCAATTTTCTACAGATGTCCAGACAAGTGCAGTCAATGTGTATCCCAGGAGCTGGCCTCCATCCCCTCCTGGCTAGTTCAGACAGCCTGTACCAGGCATCCCACGAAAAGGGCAGAAGCTGCAAGAAGAATGGCTCTTGAGAAGAGTCCTAAAAACTGTCTTACTTCACAGCTGACACCACGCAAAAAGCACCTGACACAGTGTCAAGGCCTCTGCTGGATGAAGGACCGTATCCATCTCTCCATCCAGAGTCCTGTCTTAAGAACTCCACCATCCCAAGACCAGAAGGCCAGGCAGCTTGAGACTATAACTGGAGGTCAGTCCTCACACCTGAGTGACCTTCCTCTACCCCCTGCCATCCTCGCAGGCTCCCAGGTGTCAAAAGCTCACACATTTAGATCTCTGGGTCAGATCCCTGACCTCCTTCCTGCCCCTTAGACTGTGAAGTCTGACACAGACGCCCCTGACTCCACCATGGACGCTCTCCTCCAGTACTGATAAAGGCCTCCTTCAAGAGCCCCCCCCCTTACTCCCCAAAGACACCCACTATCTCCTCCCGCCAGGCCTCCCCTCTAAGTAGCCACGGGATCAACCCTCTACTTCTCTTTATCTCCACCGCCATCACTTTGGTCCAAGCTTCCAGAATCACTTGCCTGGACCACTGCAAACGCTTTCTAATCAGCTTACCTGGATTCACGCTGGCTCTCTTCCAATTCACTTTCCACAACACAAAAAGCGAATAATTTATAAAGGAAAACTTGATCATCTCCCTTACTTACTCATCCACCCCGTAAGTCACATCAGCAGCAGCTTCTTGATGTTCTCAGAAGACAGGGAGAGCCCTTAGTGCAGTCTTGGAAAGCTCACATTAACCCTAACCACATCTCAGGTCTCATGTGCCGCTAAACTGCCAAGCTCTGTCCACAACAGCCACCAGCTTCTGCTTTCTTTCAAGGGCTGTGCACAGACTGTGCCATCCTCTCCTCCCCCAGAGCTGGCTAAAGCACTTTCCCCAGGGCGAATTCCTTCTAAGGCCCCCTTGATTAGGTCAGGTCTCCCCATTACAGACTCATGACACCAAGAAAAGAAGATGAGGGCTGGAGAGAGGGCTCGGTGGTTAAGAGCACTGGCTGCTCTTGCAGGGGACCCAGGTCCAGGTCCCAGCGCCCACATGGTGGCTCACAACCACCTGTAACTCCAGTTTCAGGGGATCCAGTGTCCTCTACTGGCCTCTGAGAGCACCATGGACACACTGAGTTCACAGACATACATACAGGCATATACTCATTCACAAATAAATCAATAAATAAATACATATTTTTAACTTTTTTTTGAGACAAGGTTTAGCTGTTTAGCCAATAGCCCTGGCTGTCCTGGAACTAGTTCTGTAGACCAAACTCAAAAAACTAGCTGCCTCTGAATGGGATTAAAGATGAACACTGCCAAGCCTGGCTAAAACACTTTTTTAAATAAAGAAACTGGATGTACTAGCAACGTTTGTAATCCCAGCACTCGGGAGCTTATGAATTAAAGGGCAATCTGCCTTACAGCATGAGACCCTGTCTCAGAAAGAAAAGAGGGGAGGAGTCCAGGAAAGTGGCAGGGAAGAAAAGTGACAGGTGAGGGGAGAGAGAAGAGAGGAGGAGAAAGAGGGCCAAGGGACCAGGGTGAAGTTCACTGGTGAAGCTTTTCAGCCCTGGGGTCAATTCTCAACAAACAAGCAGAGCAGTTGTTCTAACTCACTAATTCACAGGGGATTACGTGCTCAAGTTCACTGTCTGCCTGACGCTTCAATGCACTCTGAGTGCCAACACTCCCTCAGCTCTTCCTTCACTTACTTCTCACACTGGGTGGACAGAATTATTGCTGATCAAGACACGGAAGCAAAGGAGGTCACATAACTCAGCAAGCAGTAGTATCATTGGGATTTGCACATGTCTAACTAAATGAAATAATCAAATTTTGTTTCAATCATATTTTATTAAGCAGCAGCCTTAATTTAATGCTACTCCATAAGAAATAATGTTGTCTATTGGACCAGACAAAACAAACACCAACCATATGGTTCAGCAAATAAGGGCATTTGCTACCAGGCCTAAAGGCCTGAGCTCAGCCTGCAGAACCCCACAAGTTGTCCTCTAACCTCCACACTCACAGGTGTGAGCTCAGGCATATGACACGCATACATGCAGAAAGGTTTGAAATGAACACAAGCATCTTTCATAATCAAGAAGTCTCTCTCTCTCTCTCTCTCTCTCTCTCTCTCTCTCTCTCTCTCTCTCTAAGACAGTTTCTCTGTGTATCCCTGGCTGTACTGGAACTCACTCTGTAGACCAGGCTGGCTTCAAACTCACAGAGATCCGCCTGCCTCTGCCTCCTGAGTGCTGGAACTAAAGGTGTGCGCCACCAACGCCTGTGGCACTGGTGTACTAAAGCCCCTCCCCCTTTAGTTTTCTGGAGACAGGGTCTCACTATGTAGACCAGGCAGACCTGAAACTCATGATGACTCTCTGGCCTCTGCCAAGTAGTGGGATTATAGGTGTACAACATTATGCCTATCCTAAAATCCTTTACTTAAACAATTAAAACAAAGGAACTACTTGGCATATACAAGCCCAAAGGAAGCAAGCAACAACCACAGCTATATCGTTCCCTGAAACATATATGAACCTGAAACATATATGAGAGTTTTCATTTAATGCTGTGGCCCAATAGTTATCTGCTATGGAACAGTATCACTCCCAAGAGATATTCAGACACATGTGAAGGTCTTTCTGACTCCAAAGCTCCACTGGCTTTGTTTAGGGACAAGCAGCCAGTACAGAACTATTCTACCGCAAACACCTTTGGAAGCCTTGGGGAACCCTGACCAAGGTTCTCTTAGCTCTTCACACAGGCAAGTAGTCTCCCATCTTAACTCCAACTTCAGGTACCATTCGGAAGACGACCAGAGTCAAGCAGCTCACTGCCTGCCCAAGCTGGACCAGCCCAGCCAGTCTGCTGGTCGCCTAGTCCAGCCTTTGCAAACTGCCTAAGGTTGTTAACACCTGCCCCTAGAGCTAACTCTTCAAGTGATATCTGCCCTGAAAAAAAGATCCCTACAAACTAAATCCCAACTTGACTCTGGAATTCTTCAAAAGATCCACAGCTAGCAGGGCGGTAATGGTGCACACCTTTAATCCCAGCACTCGGGAGGCAGAGACCAGTGGATCTCTGTGAGTTTAAGGCCAGCCTGGTCTACAGAGCAAGTCTCCTGAGAGGTCAGAATGGGGACGTTGGGACAGGAAGGAAGCAAAGGATTAAGAGTGTTTTAAAAGAATCCAAAGTTGGGGTCAGTGAGATGGCATAGTAGACACTTGCCACCAAGCCTGATGACCCAAGTAAAACTGCTCACTGACAAGCCTGGAGACCTGAGAGCCATAGACCTACATGGTGGAGAGGGAGAATAAACTGCAGCAAGTTGTACACATACAACATACATACATACATGCATGCACACACACATACACAACTTAAAAATAGTTGGATATAGCTGGGCGTTGGTGGCGCACGCCTTTAATCCCAGCACTCCGGAGGCAGAGGCAGGCGGATCTCTGTGAGTTCGAGGCCAGCCTGGTCTACAGAGTGAGTGCCAGGACAGCCTCCAAAGCCATACAGAGAAATGCTATCTTGGAGGGGAAGACACTGTCTCAATAAGCAAAAATTAGGGGGCTGGGGAGATGGCTAGGTCAGTAACATGCTGCTGCTCAAGCCTGAAGTCCTGAGTTTCATCCCCAGAACACAAGTAAAAAGCCTGGCTGTGGTAGTAGTGGGTTTATAATCCCAGTGCTAGGGAGGTGGAGGCAGGAGAATTCAATCCTGTCTACTTGGACACCCAGGCCACCCAGCCTTGCCTAACCTAGTGGGAGACCCGATCTCAAAAATTCCAAGTTGGATCTCTGGCATGAATATGTACACACTGCACACATGTGCAAGAAGACATGAGCATACAGAGACACACAAAAGCAAAAAATACTTTAAGTAAAACAATAAAAAGACCACAGTGGAAGAGAGGGAATGCTGCAGTGTGACAGAGACAAAGGTGTGCCCTCACCCCTACTGTGGAGGGGCTGATCTTCCTCTGCTGAGAAGCTTGCCAAGTGTTCACCTCACCACACAGCAAAGGCCAACCTCCACAGAGGTCATGAA